TGTTTGACCACCCGTAGGTCCATCAAAATTATCAATACTGTCAAAAATATTTTGCATTTTAGAATTTAGGATAGAACATATATTAATTTTCAGCAAGAAAAAAAGTGCTTTTTTCTTGCTGAAAATTAATATATGTTCTTTATATATTTATATATTAATATATTGGAGCCCCACTAACACTGGGACGTGCATGACGTAAATCTACCTTTAATGAATATATCTCTTAAATGAACACCTTGGAGGAAACTTTGAGATGTGTTTTGTTTTCATTTTATGGATAGGTTAATTTCATATTCTGGGAAAATAGAAAGTACTTGTCACACAAGGAAAATGTTTATTACAAGCCTTGCATGCAAGTTATCAACTAAAAAAATAAAATAAAAATAAATAAATAAATAAATAAATAAAAATAAAAAAAATGGACAGCTACATCTTGAATATTAAGTTTTCTTTATTATTTTATTAAATGAGTATACAATGAAATAATATCATAGCAATTTTCACCCTTATCATTTAGCTTGCTTTGAGCATAAGATTTGATGTTCAATATTTTTCTTTCTATCAAAGACTAATTTTTATATTAGTAGGATTACAGTTAGTACAACTTAGCTTAAAATTATTTCAGGTATAAAATTTAAATCTGTAGGAAAAAAAGAGTAGATTTCTAACTTATTAATTGTATTATTTTTATATATTTTTAATTCTTAAATTTGTAACTGTTTGAAACTTTAATAATAAACCTTTTGAGTTGTTAGATTGTAATACAAAGTTTTCAGATAGTTTTTCGCCATTATTTTAATGCTGTATGTTTCTGTTATATTGTATTTATAGCTTTCAGATATTTGTATTTTAAAATATGCATATGTTGTTATTTATTATAATCTAATTTGGCTGCTGCTGTGTGTTACTATTATTTAAATTTCTGATTTATTTAATTTCCATGAGACAGAAAAAGATATTAAATGGATAATTATAGACCAGGAAGTTTTCACAGGGGCAGTTTTCAAAGATTAATTGCAATTTTTTTTTTTTTTTTTAAATTTCTGAACTGCATTGTTCTTGATATAATGCTAAGTGATGCTGTTTATCTCCCTTCTTTCCCCCCTCTTAAACTTGCTTTGTATGGAATAATTTATGCATCTTAAAAAAGCACTAAACATGTCTAATTTCATATTGTAATTAAATCCAGTGAACAATGTAAAATCTGTTTGGGCAAAGATTACTTAATAATGCTAGTTTAATGTTTAAGGAATTGATAAAAATATATTGTATTTCTCCTGGATTTGTTAACACATTAGCCGCTGGTGTTGCGTTGATGCAACGGTCAAAATAAATGCGTATATAAATGTAACTACCTAAGATATTATATACCAGCAGATGATTTTGTGTAAGGAATATCATGAAGATTATTTCTGTAAAAAAATATTTGCCTTCAACATTCATTTTGTTTATAATAATTAATCTCATACTTTAAGCAAAATTTTCAACCGGGTATTTTGCTGAAAATATTTAATGAAAGAATCGAATCGCCGTCTTTATGAGTGATCTATTTTTAGTCAAGGTCACCGTTTATCAGAACATTACATCAGTCAGATGTTTATATTTGTGTTGGGAAGCAAGGGACAACAGGTGTTGCGCTGACGCGGCGTCAGCAGGAAACGGGTAGTCAATCTCCTTTTTCACTCATTCCTTTCGATGTTCTGGTTCATGTTCTGGTTGTTTAAAAATGCCTAGAACGAGGTATTTTACATTAGAAGAAGTCCTTCAAAGATTTTTTGATGAAGAAACAGATGATGATAATATTAATAATGACCAGAATGAAACTGATGTTGTTGTTCCCCCAGAAATTGCAGAATCTAGTGACGAAGAAGAAAGGAATGGCAATGTTTTAAATAATGATAATGATATTTTACCAAATGATACTGCTGGGGAAGTTGAAATTCACGTAAGAAGTAAGTATCAGACTTCTAAAAGCAGTTATAAGCATACTTAAAAGTTTAAAAAGTCTAAAAAGCAGAAGACTGAAAATCTTGAAAGTGGATAAAAAAAAGGAACTGTTAGTTATGTCTTCAGGAAAGAAACATGAAGAAAGAGATAGAAAGAGAAACTATAAAAGACAAAAAACAAGGTAAAACTAGTGCACAGATTTTCGTTTTTGTTTAGACATTTACTCTCTTCTCGTTGAACAAACAAATATATACGCTGAGCGAAAAAAAAAGCGCCCAGAATTTATTTGCATCTGAAGCCTATATAAGAAGATTTATTGGAATATTATTGATTACAGGATATCATTCTTTACCTCAAGAAAAAATGTATTGGTCTTTTGATAAGGATATTTCTGTTCCTGTTGTACGAGAATCGATATCACATTTGCAGTACAGGAATATGAAGCAGAATTTGCATTTGACAATAGTCAAATTGACAATACTGATAAATTATATGAGGTGAGACTGTATCTAAATTTACTAAATATCACCACTTTTTTCTACTGATAATATAATGTCCCTTTTAGATTTCAGACGTGAGACTGCATTATTCTTTTTGCAAACTTCTATTGAGAGTGTAGAATCAGCCAGAAATAGATCAGCAACAGGAAGACCTAGTAAATTCAGCATTCAAAAACCACTGCATGCAGATGGTAGACATTTTATTGTAAAGTCAGTTGATAACAAAAGACTTTGTTGTAAATAGTACCATATCCAGACTGTTTATAGATGCAAAGTATGTTATGTAGCTTTACATCATTATTGTAATCAAGCTTTTCATGCTTGAATCTTTCAATTGAAGTAATCTGCATTTGTAAAAGAAATACATTGTATATTGTAATATTAAATTAATTACAAGTAAAGTTATTTGTAGATAAAACGTTATACAGCGAAAAAGTAATTCTGCGCTCCACTCAAAAGAAACATTGCACGAGTACAATCCTATTCACTAAACATCCGTAGTCTTATTCCGCTTACGTTGCGCGAACGCAACACTCGCGTTTTCCACAGGTAAGAGCATTTTTTAAATTTTCAATGTAAATTTATGTTATAAATGCTTAATTTAATATTTGTTATTTTTATGAGAAAAGAAACATTCCTTGTAGTTTTGGCGGTTAATGGGTTAAAAAGAATTAGTAATCAAAAAATCAGTTGGGTGATTTGTAAGTAAAAACAGAAAAGAGGTTATATTTATTCTGTGGGAAGTATTATGGAATCATCCTAAGATCATAACTGTCATATTTAATAATGGGTTAAAGAGGACAGAAGATCCATATTTGTTTGTTAATTCATAAAACCTATAGATAATTACTATTATCATATCAAAACCTGACATTAACTCCAATGACTTTAAAGTAGAAATTTTGTTTTACATTAAATTACAAAGATTAAGTAATTAGAATTTGTTAATTATGAATTTAAAAATGCTGTTAAATATTAAATTCACAGAGTTGGTAGAATTTGAAGCATCTTTTAATAAAAGTTATCATGAAGAAAAACTGTTTGATCCAGTTCGGCTTTAAACTTGTAAAAAATGTGTTCAGAAATTTCAATTGTTATTAACTATTTCATAAAAATGAAAGAATCTGCCAAAAGATTTCACATACTTCTCTGTTATTATTTTAGTATCAGAATCAGTATTTGTCTAATTTGTAGCATCCCCCCAACCTGTTTGCAGAGTGCAGAAATAAAAAAACAGTATTTATTTGTATCATATTCTATACGTTTTGACATATAGCTTTGGGAAGTGCTGTGTTTTATATTCGATTGTGTACATTCAGTCCTGAATACATTATTTAATATTCGAAATGGACATTATTAAAATAATAGTAATACTTATATATTTAAAAATATTGAATACGTTTGTTGAGAAAGTGTTTATTTCTTAAAACTTCCCATGTTACTAATCAAAAAACAAAATCATACAGTTGTGGACCATACTGTAAATCTTCAAAATGGCTTTCAGCACTTTTTCATTTTCAGTTGCAATTTTTTGAAATGATTAACAGTTTAGCAACAAAGTTGAAGTGTTGTTACTGAAGATAAATGCATCTGCTTTTAGAATGTCTTACCAAATAACAAAGAATAAACTGTGCTTTCTAATTATCTGCACCCCCATGAAAAGTCTTCAGTACATTTTTGACTTTGAGGCTATACTGATATTTTTACAGTCCTTAAATACTGTTCAATAAATATAAAAAACATGTAAATCCATATGTATGCAAATATGTGTGTGTGGTACACATGCAGGTTTAGCTGTTGTTATGTATATTCGAAAATACATCAAGAACGTGGCAGTTCTACCAAATGATGAAACTGGAGATGGGGGTGATATAAAGTACCTAATAAACAATTAATTGGGTATTTAAATATTAATGCAACCAGTTTTGTAGAAGCTGTTGAATTTTTTAAAAAGTGCCAAAGTCTGACAACCATTCATGCAGTTCTTTACAATGCAATATTGTTATTTTTATGTGCATTCTTTTTGTTGTGTTCATATGGCTTTTATAGAAAAATTTTGATAATTTTTGCCTTAAAATCAGCTTTAAAATATGCGCTTGTGGACTTTCCTTGTTGTAGAAGAAACTGTTTTAAAATTTCGGTGGGAATAGAGTATTTTTTTGCAAAATCACTTGAAGGGAACAATTACTTCATATCTATTCTTAAAGCAATAATCACAAAATCTCCACTAAAGTAAAAGAAACAAAAACTCACTTATCAGTAAATTTATTAATTAATTTTCAGGATAAATACCCAATTAATACAAACTATAATATGTAATAAATAATTTCTTGCAATTACTTATGTCCTCTTACACCCTTCCCAAAAAGTTGCCAAATTGTAATAAGTTGCTTGTGTTAATACATAAGTACTGTTAATTGTTCTTAAAAGTTTTATTCCATATGATGTATTTGGGATAATTACAAGAGAATTTTTTGCATATTTGAGTATTTTTCCTAGAAACATGTATATCATGTAAAAGACTGTTTGATTGTAATCTTTAATCAAATACAGATTGGTGTTGATTTTGCTCTAAAAGTTTTGAACTGGGATGCTAATACATTAATACGTTTACAGTTATGGGATATAGCAGGTAATTTTTTTAATTTATAAGTTTCATATATTTTGTTTTATCTAAATTAGTGCATTTTTAGTATAAAGCACTTACTATCATCTCTTAAAGTAGATAATAATCTTGATATACTGTACATAATGTATCCTTCAAAATTTTGAATCTAATTTTTATAATTATTAACAGAATATTAAGATTAGAAATGGAAGGACAGTTAAATTTGTCAGCAAAATCTCCTAGGAAAAGTGTTGCTGTATTTTAGAAATGAAAATCCAAGACAGTAAGCATTCATGGGGCACAGAGCCATGCTGGAATTGAATAAAAAATGTGCATTTTATATTAATGCAGGTGAAGTTTGTAATGCAGCATAATGTACTTTTTTAATTGTAGCATAATGTACATTTTTTAATCGATGAAACACGATATTCTATGCTGTACTTGCAAATTCCCATAAATTTAAAAATTAAATAAAATTTATTAATGTAATTATTTGTCACCAATATCCCTGTTTTCATATTATTCTGTGAATGCTGATGTCCAAGAGACACTTATGAAAAATTCATTTTAGTGATTAGGAATCGTACAACATGTACATACACTGTAGAAGCCTATATGATAGATGAAATTTGGCATGATGGAACAAAAGGAATATATACAGCAAGGACAACAAAAATTCAAACTGTTGAAAGTAGACTGCATACCCTTTACAGCATGTCTACACAGGAAAAGATTTGGATGGCTGAGATTCTTGTGTAATTTTAATTGGGTAGTATTTTATTTAGAAACTGTTATATTTAATATGTTTGTAAAAGTCTTTATGTGAATATCTGGAATTTACTTTCAAGTTTCATAAGTTCCTCTGTTGTTGAACTCTTTCTGAAGACCAAATGTTGTTCAGAGCTGGAAAATTTTTTCCTGTTGGAGCTGATGAATTTAACTGCAAAACTGATGATTATTATTTACTTTAGACATACAGTTGTTCTTGCATAAAAATCCTGGACAAAATTACAAATCTTGGGCCTGTCCAGTGTAATCCCAGACATCTGGTAAAATAATACTTAGAAGTAATAATTAATTAGAAGAGAGAAAAAACAAAAGCTTATACTAATAGAAATGTTTTTATTATCTATTAAAATATTTTAACAGCATATTTCTCCATGGAAAACGTTATTATGCACTGGTAAACTGGAGTGCTTTATCCATATTTTGGCTGTCATCAGTTGGAAGGTCAATGTCCATAATTTTTACTTTATAACTTCAGTCTTCCTAAAAATGTATCTTTTACTTATGTTAACCAACTTTATAATAATGTCTGTGTAATCAGAAAATTAAAGTTAACTTTAGTATGCAGTAACAAAGACAAGGATAAAGATTGAAATCTAAAGCAGTCATAATAAGAGTAAATGTTATGTAATTTAACAATCTGTATAAATCAATGTAATACACATATGCTAGCCAGTACATTAACTATGTATATATTATTATAAACATTACCTGGTATCATCTCATAATCTGCATAAAACTCGATATTGCAATATTTTAACTTAAATTAGTTACGATGAGAAATAAGCAAGAATCTTAATTTGGCTTATTGGTATTGAAAACGTTACCACATTGTCAGCTTTGTGTGTGATAAATTCATCATATATATACTTCTTCAGCTTTATTGCTTAAAGTGTTAGTTTTTTCATATTTTAAAATGACGCAGTTGTGGTGAAATTAGAAAAACTGGTATGTCTTTAAAGTAACTTAAAAGTACTTAGTGAAAGAAATGAAAATTAATAATTTTATAACTTTTAAATAGTCTAAACCTACTTCTTACTTCTGCATATATTTGTAATTTTTTTGTGGTATTGTGTGCATGTATGTGGCAATTTTTTTTTTTTTTTTTTTACAAATATTCAGTATGCAGTTTACTGTAATGTATCTTTTTAAAAGCCCTTTTTATTTAAAAATAGAGTTGGCCATATATGTCTTATATATCAACTCAGCTTGTTGCATACTATGGCAGTAATTTTAAAATATAAAATGCTAGCTTCTAAATACTTTACATATTAAAAATGAGGTACACTAAATTACTTAAAGTTTAAAAATTTGTTACAACTGAAAACTAATCTTTAATTTTAACACTTAGGTTATAGCTCAGTAAAATAATCATTGGCCTAATCTACCATGTGATATGTTCTTGATTTTAGACATTAACATGTTAAGATATTTGAATGGTAAATTTAAGTTTTTTTGTACAGCATGTGTTGTTCTTGTTTTGCTACATAAACAAAATTTTATTTGATGGAATTAATAATTTGTCCTTTCTGTGTGCATTTTATTTAAAAAAACAGACAGCTTTTATAATTACTGTTTCCTCTTAAACATTTAAAAAGTTTTGCACTTATATGGCAGGTCAAGAAAGGTTTGGAAACATGACAAGAGTCTACTACAAGGAAGCTGTCGGTGCTTTTATTGTATTTGATACAAATAGGTCAGCGACATTTGATGCTGTCATGAGGTGGAAAAATGATTTAGATTCAAAAGTGAGCCTTCCAGATGGCAGCAAAATTCCTTGTGTTCTCTTAGCAAATAAGGTATGTTATTTAGGATTTTTATTATCATTAGAACATATAATAGTTTAAAAGATTTTCAGCAGTAAAATTCATTTTCTAAGCAGTTAAACTGCTGAAAAATTTGCTTTAAAATACAATATTGGTCGTTGTTCAGCATACATTGTATTTTATATTGATGAGGATAATAAAAATATCTTTTATACTATAATAATTAGTTGCTTGTGGGGCCAGCTGCCTAAAGTAGCTATTTTAGAAAGACAAAAGGTACTTTCTGATTATCTGAACCCTTCCTGAAAAGTCCTCTTGACAGTATATTAAGAATTCCATAACAACTGCCCAAACTTCTTGATGTAGCATATGTTTCTCCATCGTTGTGCCACTCCATGTAGTACCAGCAAGATGGGCCTCCTCCACATTACACGATTGACATCCACTGACACATTGACATAACGTTTGGACAGCGGTGAATAGGTTGTGGTGGCCTGCCAGATCATCAAACCTATCATGCATGGACTTTTTCTAGGGTCACATGAAAGTTTGGTATGTTAGACACCTGTTCCTTCAATTGAAGACCTCGTTGCTCGAATATCTGCAGCTGCCGGTAGGATACATGATATGCCAGGAATCTTCCAGTGACAGTGACACTGCATGTAAGAAATTCCATGCAGTGCCACTGTCGGGCCTGCCAGATGACTTCTGGTTGTAATTTCAAACACCTGTTGTAGTCCAAACTTTCAGTAAAATGTTTTCTGTTCCATTTAATGTGTTGCTGTTTCTGTTCTTTTTCTCTGCTTCTTTGTACCATAGCTCGCAACTACAGCATTTGTGACCCTGCCTTCTTGTGTGATTCCAAGTCGTCTCTGTATCCCATACTTAGCCTGCAAGTTTGTCGGTCTAGTAATGAATCACCGTGTATAGAAAACTAAAGAAAGGGTAATTCTGTGATTTTAAGTGCATACAATTGCCTTTGTTTTCATGCCTCAAAATACAACAAAATTTGTTTATTAATTCAGATCATTAAAAAATCCCTTGCCTTGTAAACCAAACTCATTCAGAAAATAGTAGCACATGTTACAATTCTCATGGTTAAAAATATGAAGGAACAATTGCTATGCCAGAAATCCTTGTTTTTTAAACTATCTACAGAACCAGATATTCTTAGTGCATTCTAAATTAAAGTATAGTTAGTTCTGTTAGTGTTAAATTTTTTATGATAATTTTCATATGAGCTATAAAAAGTTTTGGTACTTTTTTGCTAACAGGACAGACATCGTATAACATAAATATAGTCCAAAATAGTAATTCAAATCTAAAGATATAAGGTGGAATGAAAACTAATCATATTTTCACATATTAACATTTAGTACTAATCAGTTGATTGCATATGCCAAAATTGTGCAATATATTTTTCAAGTGACTTTTGTCAGTTTCATTTTCTTAGCATAACTATTTAAAGTATTAACCAAAAACCGAAACAAAGTTGTCAAATCCTGTTACCTACCCCAAAGACATGCTTACACCCTAGAATATATACTGTTGTCTATTTGATGGAATACTTAGGGGTATAATTTTGGAGCATGGAAAATATCAAAAATAGTGTTTTTTTTTTTTTTTTTTTTTTTTTTTTTTTTTTTTTTTTACAAAAGCCATCTTTGTGCTATAGTTTCAGAACTGAAAATAAGTTCACTAGGTGGCAAAAGAATCATTTATGATGAAGGTGATTACATCATTGATAACAAAAAAAAATATTTTGTAGAATTATTTGTTTTAATTAGATGAGAAATACATTACTTTTTTAATCTGCTTTACACATTCAGCATACACTGTTGCTAAAAAATACGAGTTTTGTTCAAAGAATAATTCTTACAGACTAGTTTTCATTGCTCTTTAGTTTAGGCTGCTGCACCCTGTCATTAAATTGTAGCTTCATCTTGTGGTTCTTTGATGTTTCGCCATGGATAACTTTTTTTTTTGAAACAATGTAACGATAAATTCTTCATCATTTGGCTATCATTTGTCACATCATAAAGTCTATTTCAGTTGAATCATCAAAATCATGATCTGAATATGATATAGCATAATTCACAGTGTATGGTTGCAGTCACTAGTGTTCTTGAGCACATTTTGACTGCTTCCCATAAACGAAATATCAGAATTACTAGTTTTTTGAAAGTATGGGATATTTTGCTGACTTAGTAGGAAGATCTTTTTCTTTTGCAATTGACAATGTGCTAATATTGCTTTGAAAGCATTCCTGATAATTTACATTAAACTGCATAGTGGTTATCAATAAATTCACCAGCTATAAACATAGTTTGTTAATTAATATTTTTTTATTTGAAATCCTTCCGTTAAAAAGTGCATGCAATTTAAAAGGAACCTTCATGGTAAGGAAAGAGAAGTACTTTACTTCATATATGAAATTTGAAGCCTTATCAAAAAATTTGATTTTTTTCCCCCAAAATTGATTAATCAACTTGCTAGAGTGTGATAATTTAAACTTCAGATTAAGCATATTTTTGCCAATTTATATGCACTTTTATTTTATTTATTTATTTTATTGTTGCTGTCTTGTGCAGTAGTTTTTCTATATATAACATTTTACAGAACTCTAGTTACAGTGGTACTAAATTACATTTGCGCAGTTTGAATACATACTTGCCTACAGGATAAAATGCTATTTAAATCAATAAAATATAAATTGTAAACACCATTTTACTTTAAAAGATTATTTGTGTTAACTTGTCTATTTTTTAGATGTAGTTTAATTTTATATATGTAGTTGATGTAACTTTTTTTTGTAGTAGATTTCTTTCACTATTATACATTTCGTTTTAATGAAACTTTTCAAATTTTGGTTAAATCAAAATTAACAAAGTTCTTTTCATATAATTTTATTTACAAAATTTTATATTTATACAGAGATAATTCTTAATTTTTGTAGTGTGATCTGCCTCCAGAAGGTCCTGTTTCAAATCCAGCTGCAATGGATGAATTTTGTAAAGAAAAAGGTTTTTCTGGTTGGTTTTTGACCTCAGCAAAAGATAATATTAATGTTGATGAAGCAGCTAGGTTTTTAGTTCGGAAGGTGAGCTAATTGTAATGAAAAATATATAAACTTGAATTATTTAAAAGCCACTCAAATAAAATGTTATTGCATGTCTGGAAAAGGAATAACCAGTGGTTGATGTAGCTTTTTATAAGTGTAAATATTAATATTTTTCATCTATTGTCAGCAGAAACTGTTAATTGTAATTATCTAACTTTTTGACCGCTTAATAAAAATAATTTTAAATTTGTATTAATCAGATAATTTAACATGATTTTGATTTGCTGATATTATTTTCTTTGTTGCATTAAGCAAATGTATAATTACTGTCTAGTTAATATTTCATAGCTGATAAATCATATGACTTCAGAATTTTACATATCTTATTAAATTATTTTTATAAATTTGAAAAGCACTGACATAAATTAATACAAATAAAACCAATAAAATTTTCAGATTTTGCTCGGTTCTCAAGCATAAGATATGTTTAAGATTAATAATTCATTAAGTTTCATTGTGAAAGAAGAAAGAATCTGTCTTAATTAGTTTTTTCATAAGAAAGTACTGAAAAAACAAAAAAGCTGACACATGTTAGAGGCAGTTCATTAAAAGCAATTGTAATGTCATATTTATTTAATTAAACTTTCTTTTTATTATATCTACTTTCTCAATATGCTTAGGAAAATCTGTGAAAATCAGATGAATTTAACAACCAGTTTTATTTAGGTTTGAATTTTTTATCCATAAATTTCTTTCATTTTCTTTAAACTCTAGCGTGAATTGTGACTTTCCAATGAGTCTGTTTTGTTCTATTCCCAGCATTAGTTTTCTAATTTTTTAACATTGGTTTAATAGTTAAAATATTGAAATCTTCATCAGTACATCAATTCATCTCAGCTTTTGCTTGGTCAAACCAAATATCTTTATTTCCCTTTCACCAGGGCTGTATTCTATATTGAATAGCAAAAAATACTTTTTTTTTTTTTTTTTTTTATATATCTCTGCTTGTTTTCATTTTAATTTATTTTTATCATTTTTAATTACCTCAGTATAAATTTATTCTGTACAGTGATTGTATTAATTTTGCAGATGATGGTTCGAGATCAAAATATATATAACAGTCTAAATATATATTTCATTAAATCATCATCATTAATTTATACTGACATTTGAACATAGAATTATAAATTAGTCTGTTACCTCGGTATACTTTCTTAGCAGCTCTGGTTTTGGAATCTGTCACGAAGACCTGTATTCAAAGAGCCTCTATTAACTAAATTTGTGTATTTATTTACTTTACTCTCTATTTTTATAAACCTACATTTATTAAGATGATATTTATATTATTAAAGAAAGTAAAAAAGCAAAATATCATAAATTATAAGCTAATATATACCAAGTGACAATTCTCATGACCAGATAAAGTCAGCCATGCTGCTCAGAGGGTTAATCCATTCCAGGTCCTTAGACGAATATCAAACAAACTTTTCCAATAAAAAATAATGGAAAAATAGTCATTCCTTTCATATAAAAAAAATCCCATTGTTGTTATTATAGCCCTATTTAAGACAAAAATACAAATGCACTGGGTGAAATTTATATTGTACGTAAGTGAAGCCTTACACATGATACAATGCATAAATGCTTTTCTGCTGTTAAGATCAAAAGCAATTTTTCAACATGGTATAACATCTTTCATTTTGTTTGGTAATTTTTTGTACTCCTTTGCAATGTTAGCCAATTTAATAGCACCTTTGTTTTTTCACATTCGTAGATTACAGTACTCTGCATTCGGTATACAATAGCCGGGTACGGTACTGCATACACATGCAGTCTTAATTTTTTCTTCATACTTCATACTCCTGCATGATGATCCTAATAATTCTGAATGTTATTTTATTCTTCTCATTTTCTAAAATTCATTGTAACTTGTTCCCATCCCCCCCAAAAATGTGAAAAAACACAAAATTACTTGAAAATTCAGAGTTATAATGCTAATTTTTTACTGAGTAGTAGCAAAAATCGTACCAACAGTTTATAGAAATGAGGGTCGAAGTATTGTCTTTAGAGAGGTAAACAAGTGTAATGTGCACTTAATTCTGCAAACTCGAGTCATATTCCTAACAAAAAGTTTCATGTCAAACAAGGACATATACTAAGTTGGCCATATTTTGAAGCTGTCATATACTGAGGTACCAATGTGTTTATATATTTTTTAATTAAAATAAATTATATTCTCAATTTTTTACTTGTAGAGATCAGATGATGTAAAATACTTGTGTATTAACTTTCTTCTAGGAACATTTTTCAGATCAAGAGAATCTTGACGCTGATTTTTATATAAGAGACACTGGTTGATATGAGTGCTGAGATTTTGGTTCTTCTCTTACTTTGTTTTGTAAATCTCTTGATAATAATTGTTTCAGTTAGTAAAATGGTACTTTCTCATTAAAGCAGCCACTATACTTAGTCACCAAAATTGGCAATCTTAGTTGTTCAATTTGTAATGTGAAAATTTCAAATGTCAACAAAGGCTCTTTTTTTAACAAGGAAGTACCAACAATAAACGTATCTTCCTTAGCAATTTTGATAAGTTCTGGAATATTAGTTTTCTACAGAATTATAGACATATTTGAATTTCGATGAATAATTTGAAATGTAAAAACTTTTATCAATTTTCTATTTAATTATGTATAAAATATATAATTTTGTTACCTCATTAGGTAATATGAACGGAATTTTTCCTCTCTCCCTTTTCACAGTCCTTTTATGTTTTCAATCATGTGAAAAAGTGTTGTATTTAAATGTAGTGTTAAGGAAATTTTATAAAATCTGTTTTATTACTATTATTTTAAAATTAAATTTCGATTATTTAAATAGGTTTTATCTTTCATGACTAAAAATATTTTTTGAGTGAATTTTTTGGTGATTATATTAATAAAGGCTAAATTTGTTATTTGGCTAATTTTGTTATTTGTTTATTATCTAGAAAATAGCAAGAAGGAAATTATTAGTAATTACTTTGCCCCTCAAATGTATAATAATTCTGCTTTTATCTAAAGGTTCCAGTATTTTTATAAAACTTCATTTCTAATATACAACTTTCCAAAATTGAGAACAAATTTCCGAAATGGAGAAAATTTTCTCAATTCTTGAAAGTCACATATGGCAAATTAAAATTTTACAAAGATGCATTATTTTTACCTTCATCTTATAGCTACTATTACTTTATATAACTGAGTAGAACTGAAAGTAACAGTGCTAAAAATGCTTACTAATTTCATAACAGGAAGTATTAGTTTGATAATTTTTTTTAAAAACTTTAATTATTTTCCTTTATTTACAGATACTTGAAAGTCAAGATTCGATTATAGCAGATGAGCAATATAATGACACAACAGTTCTCTCAGAATATCACCTACCAGTGGGCCAGCCAGCACACAAGAAATTATGTTGCTGACATATTTATGTAAATACTTGATGCCCATACCAGATTTACAGCTATATTCCCAGTGCCTGACTTGTTCCAAACAAGGAAACATTTCGCAATCTAATTTAGTTGCATTTTGCCGATTTTAATTATTTAAGTTTTTTAAAATTTTGTGTGTAAACTATTTTGTATAGTTATGTAGTAAGAGTTAACTGTGTTTTATCTGTATAGGTTGTTTCTGTTATAGGTTTAGACTGTATTTTATAATTTAGTTTTTTAAAACTATACTCTTATACTGCCTATGCTCTATAAATAGATTGTTTACTTTTGCTAATTTTTATATCAAAATCAATTTTTTATTGCCATATTTATATACTTAATTTTTATAATTTCGTTTATGTTTATGTTTAATACATTTCTGAATTCTAAAGTACACCATTTGTAAAGCTGAATTTAAAAGTGCCAATGATTTTGATGGAATTATTTATTTTATGAAATAAAATGTAAATAGCATAACATGATTGGGGGGATGCACTGCTGTTAAATATTCCTTTGTGAAATTTAAAATAATGTATTTTATTATTTTATTCCCTGTGAAAAACCATATTGTGTTTCAAATAAAATTAATTGACACTATTGCCTTCTTATTTATGTAGTAATTATAAGCAATCATTTTTTCTGGACTATGGAGGACTTTTATGGAGTGTTTTCATAATTGTAACTTATAGGAACTATTACATGATTTGTGATTAATTGATCATAATTGTTTACTAGTATTATCAAATTGTTGCAAAAATTTTGCTGCTTGGATCCATGCCATGATCATTTGTTTTGAAAAACCCAAAATCTGATCTTTGCAAAAAAAAAAATAAAAATGTACTGATGAACTTCTAGAATTCATTAAGATTTCTGATACCCAACTTGTTGAAGAGCTAGCTGGCTTAGAATGCATTTCTTTATTCACCTTGGTTTCTCTGATAAAGTCATTAGGGTACAACACAGCAGCCAAAAAATTTCCCAGTGCAAAATTTGGACTATGCAATAAAATGGGACAAAATTTCTAAATCTAGCTCTGGTAACTTTTATGGATTTTCTTAAGCCATATGAAGTCTTGAGCTGTCTTGAAGAAACTGAATTGCGTGGGTATTAAATAATAAGATTCTCTATAAGATGCTGTTATTAACAGTATAGTGTGGCAATAACGTAGATGCCTTGTGGAAGAAAGTTTTTAGTCAATTGAATTCAATTAAAAACACAGCAATTGTATTTGCCTCACTGTTACTAATTTTTAGTCAACATATTAAATCTGACCTTGCTTGCCATATTATTACTTTCACTACTGTCTCACTGTAAGTCAATTACAACCCAGCAGACAAATAAAACTTAGGTTATTCTCCCACTTGCAGAAATGACAAAACTTAACTTTATACAATCTTATCTACTGCTACTTGTGAGGAATTAAATTAAACTTTAAAACTTGAATTAAACGCAAAATAAATTAGCCTTGAATATGAAGTCCAAACTGTTAGCTTTCATGAATTAAATCTTAATTCCTAACAAATTAATTGACATGCAGTAAACTTCTCATTCACTTGAATTACTTTATCTCCAGCTCAAGAATAATCTGAACTCAGATTATTGTTGAGCTGCCTGCTCCGCAACATTCTGAGACTCTCATTGTTTTTAAACCATTATAGGGTTCAGATTATTGGTGAACTGTGGTTAAGTGCTCATAAGCATTGGGATTGTCAATGTAAGGTAAATGAATAATAACTGTTTGTGATTTTAAACCTTATCTAGTTTACATTTTGGTGAAGGTTGAATAGAAAAGAATTAGCATGAAATAACTGGTTATTTCATATAAAATCTTATAACTTTATGTAGGTGGATCCTAATATTTTGATTAATACCTAAGAGATTTGTTATATAGTTTTGAATGGACTTCATTTTGATATAGAGAGTTGCATTTTTCATCCATGTCACTGAATTTTTTCTTTGAATACCATCCCATTGATTTTCTTGTGCAAACAATCTAATTGCCATTGTATACCTTTATGGTCTGTGTAAACTTTGGCATTGTCAAAAATGTTTCCTGTAATCTACTGCTGATCTTTAAACTAACTAGTGACATTATGGAAATATGTGAACCAATAATTTGCGATATATTCTCTTGAGATCCTTTCTGAATATGTGGTATGATACAGTCAAAAGTCGTAAATTCAGATACACATAATCTGGAATGATCTATAATCCGGACTTCAAAGCTACAAACTTTCTGCGCATGCGTCACGTTGATGCATGCGCATAAGACCTTTACAGCTGCGAATATACGTGCGCGCATGCACAAAATACGTTTACGAATGCACGTTTAATGTATAACGGATGGTATTAGCTAAGCTAAAATGATCTAATTCAGTTAATGTTGCAGATTGCGTTGTTCCTTAATCTTCGAATTGGATTCGGCTTATTATTTTTTGCAGACTGTTAGAGCAATTTTATAAAAGTAAGCGTGAACTTTCGATTATGTCAAATAGAATTTCTTATATATATTTACTAATATGTAAAGGATCTACAAAGCGAAAGTATGTTTCGAAGTCCATTAAACAAAAAGTGGAATTGCTACAAAAAAATGGATAAAGGCATATCCTTTGTTTATCTAAACTTTAACATTTGTTTATCTTTAACGCTGCGGCGCGCAATGAATTGGAAGTTGATCTGTCAGCACTATCCTTATCTTCAGGGCAGATGTTTTTATTTTATTTGGCTTATAATTCCTTACTAAGTGTAGTATTTCATCTCGATGTACTCCGTCTTTGATGTGATTTAAATCAATTTTCCTAAATCCTCGTCTATAATTCGCTTCCTTTATAGCAAAGAAAGTGACAGAGGTTATTGAAAAAAAAAAAATTGACAAATTAGTCGATATTCTCGACACAGCAATTATAGGACTTGAACAGCGGAACTTTGTAAATGCACAAGAAATTATGTCTGTTTATAGAATTAAAGAGAATGTATTATCACATAAAAAACGAAGCAACTTAAACAACTTACATTGAAACAAATGTTTAATAAAGTAAACAAATAAATATTAAGCTTTTTTTTTTTTTTTTTTTGTAAATTTTGATACCCTTTAGATCATAATTGTTCTTTATTTCATAAATTACGGTTTCATATTTTTAATTTTATAATTTCTGCATGCCATCTTACCAGATTTAAACTGATGATCTATAATCCGGAATTGCCGAAGTCCCGACGAGTCCGGATTAACGACTTTTGACTGTAGCTTGATTTGGTAGCATTGATCCTGAATTTGAAGTCCAAAAGCTAGGACTTACCAACAGAGGCTGTACCTATAGACATATGAGAGCGCATGATGAAAGAGTGATTTTACCCTAACTGCACATTTGTGTCGCTATATCCCATCTATTTACGTTTCCCTGTAGTAGGAGCTTAGAGAATGTCCTGATGAAAAGTGAAATGATTTTCCACCAAATTCTAAAATTTCTAGAACTTTTAGTGCTTTATATTTATTACAAATGATGTTACTAAGTAACATTCTAAAAATAACATTAAAATTCTGAAATATACATAATGTTGGTCATTTCAAGCAGTGTAACTTACCAGGTTATTCCTTATCAAGAAAGAAAATAATGAAATACAGGGATTAATAACCAAGGAAAGAGGAGTATTCCAGAACATTTCTCTGTGCAAAACTATAAAAGTGAAATCTCTGTGCAAAACTATAAAATATTAAGAGCATGAAAAGCAAGACAATCCTGTTGGAAGGAGGTTCGCAACAGTTAAAATGATGCAAACTACTATCTAGAAGAAATATCATGTAAGGAATGAGTTGTAGAAGTAATGTAATAAATTAAAATAAGCCAAGTTGAAGTAAATATTGAACATCTGAAAATTGCATAAATTTAGGCATTTGCCATGTATTTTAAAATTGATTGCAATAGCAACTGGTTTGCATTTCCACACTGCAGTATAAGAATTTGATCAAACTGCAATCTAGAGAATATTCACCATTTAAGATAAACTTATGAAGTGAGAAATTAAAATTCCTTTTTCTTAAAATAATTTACTTTTTATGTATTGTGTATTTGCTGCCTGTATTGCTTGTCATACTTTGGGGAATCCAAAATGGTACTGATATTTTCTTAAGATGGGCACACTATATTTACTGGATATTTATGCTAAATTGCTTAAAAATGCACAAAATAAAATGGACTCGCAAGATTGTTGTGGATATTGGGGAGAAAAGAAGTCCATAGTAACAAACTGGTATCAAGCAGAGCTGCTTATAATATAGTAAGATATGAACTGTTACGATGACTAATTAATCTGAGGATACTTCTGTTGCATTTAAATTAAGAGATAGAATTTGAAACAAAATTACATTGCAAATTCTCTGTGGAAACTAGGCTTTGAAAGAGATAGTTATCAATATATATATATAATATAAAATTTTGAAAAATTATTTCATTATACGATTACTAAATAAGGTAATGAAATAAAATTTTTTTTGTTGATATACTGAAAGAAAACATCTAAGTAGAAGAAAGAAATAAAAGGAAATCTAAAAGTATTCATGTTTTAATGTTTTTATGTTGCCCCTGAGCACCCAGTTTACTAATCTGCTCTTGGACTCATCCTTGTTAACACAATTCTTTTTTCATCTCTTTATTTTTAAACTTCACTTTCTTTGCACTTACATAAAATGCAAGAGCAAAATTACTCAATTTTCAAGCAGCGTATAAATTCCCTATGTAGTGTTAAGTGTTGCCATTAATTTTTTCTTCAGTTCATCACATCAGTGTTCAGTTTTATTAATAAAATCATTTGCACAACTTTTTTGTTGTTTTAACTTTAAAATTTACACTATATAACCAGTACCAAAATCACAAAGTATAAATGTATACAGATTTGTAATGTGCAGATCCAGTGAAAGGTTGATAAAAATTATTTCATCAAAAGAAATACTTCAGAGTTCTGGAACTTTCCACAAAAATACTCCTATAAACCTTCACAGTATCACAGAGTATAGTAGTGACACTTCAAACACAGCACAATGCAAAGCAAAGCTAAACCGGAGAAATCATCAATGTGCAAAATTCGTAACAATATTTAAAAACGGCATAACTTGAAAATTCCTGTAGAATATTAAATGTTGCCATATATTTTTTCAATGTTCTTTGTATTATTTCTTTAAAACTAAAATGTGATGATGAAATTTGGTAGCAACATCCTTTTATTTGAAACTAATATGGACAAAAAGTGAGGATTGAATGTAATAGAGCCTTTGGTTGTAAAAAATAAAGCTGGAGCTTTGTTAGATAAACCAATGTCTTCAAAGTCAGACCAGAATTCATTGCAAAAACTTCTTAAATTTGCATTTGAATGCAAATTATGATATTTAAAAATTTAAAATAGAATCTTTGAATTTATATATGATGATGACATTTTGTGACGTATCCTTTTATTTGAAAACAAAATCTAAATTTTGTTTAAAATTTCATTTCTAACAGAATTTAGATTTGGAGTAATTAAATTACAAATGAAAGTGATTCTGAAGATCAAATTTTTAATCTGAAATTATCATTTACACTCGAGAGGTGACTCTTTGTCACCAT